TGAATGGCAACTTGCAAAGCAGACTCAAAAAGGGCAATCGATAGCTTCTGAGCCACACACAATATTTGGTTGCAAAATATACAGCCAGTCCCTGCCCATTTCCTGGCCAGCAAGAAACTGACTTAAACTAATTAAAGAACAACTTATTTTAACTATACCCAAGTCTTATTTTTAAAGAATTGATGAGTACCTATTCACATATTTCTGGGGGGAAGATTTCCATAAATGGAAAGAAATGAAGCTATCTTAAACTAGGAATAAATAATCAGGTGCATCTGTAAGCATCAACATTTCCATGGTCACCTCCCTAGACAATTATCAGGTTCTCTGTCCACCTATTTTTTAAAGCATGTTTTTATTTTAAAAATTAAACAAGAAACTTTCATGTTGCAGAGTCAGCAGTCCACCCAGTCCTTATAGGTGTTCTGAGAAAATAAAAATGATAACTGTATTGTTTACTAGCCTATGTACTTGCTAAAAAGACCAACAACATAAGGAAAGATAGGGAACAGGTGACATCCATAATGAATGAACATTTTATTTCCTAAAGACCATCACTTTGTGCTCCTAAATTTCTAACACCCAAAAAGATTATTTATCCCTGTTCTAAAGCAATCCTGTCCTTACTAAAATGACCTGGTCAATTTGGGACAATTTGGGACAATTTGACAGCTATATCAGCAGTTCAGATAACTTCTTGTGCCTTAGCCATATTTGCTTTCTTTCTGTTCCCTTCTCTTTGTACATATTTGGTACACTATAATTGGAACACAATTAACAAAAGTACATCCCATTCCATTGTAATAAAGGTTATCTTTAAATGATATTGATTAATTAATCTAGAAATGTACTCATTTTGCATCCCTCCATTTTGCTTCCTGCCTAATATAAATGGCCTCTGAAAGAAATGTTCCACTCAAATGAACTGATGCAGGAAAAAATGGAAGCCAGCAGAGCTCATATTTTCACCTTAATTTACCTTCCAGATCAATATGTGAATATCTTGGTTAAAGAGCAGATGATTCATAGAAAAAAACGTTGATGTTTTAAAAGAAATGTCCATGCGCCATGCATGACATTACTATTTTAACTCCCCTGGGCCTTGGTAATTTACCTCCTCTTTTTATTTTATTTACATCAAAATCAAATCTACCATCTAAGATATTTGCATTGTTTCTGCTTATACAGTATCACAGCCAAATGAGAGAATGACTGTGCATTCTTTATTTCATCCATTCCTGCTACATCTCAACAACTTTTCTTCTCTAAACATATATCTTGCAGTTTATGCCTCCAGCTGCCACTACAAAGGCCTTGTTTCCCCAGTCCAGGAAAATTCAGAATTGTTATAACTTTATAACAACCTTATTCTATTTTTCTCTTGTCTTGACTTGTAATGACATCCTGCAAGCTTTGAAAAGATCTCTTGATGGAACAAGGCATCTTTCCACCTGGGAAACTGGGCGACCTGCAGCTTCTTTCTATTCCTGACTGCAATAGATAAAGTTAATAGATAAAGTTCCTGAGAGCAAAGAGATGGCAACCATATTCACTCCTAAGTTCTTAACTATTTCTCCTATTGAAACAATTGCAGCTCATTACTATGAATTTAGCAATTTGTCAGTGGGAAAAAAAGATTTATCTCGAACCAGCCAATCAGTTCAGTATATTGGATACAATGACAGTCCCGTTCCTACAACATCTCCAAAAATGTTGATCTACTAATCAACATTTACTAATGTTGATTGCAATAAATCTAATTTGGGATCATTTTTGAAACTCTATTTTCACGGGAAAATATGCATGTATGAAAATACAATATACATTTTAAAAATCGATACGGATATTACTAGAGTTTCTTTTTAATCATCTTTTATAAAACAAGGTCAAGTTGTAGTTAATAAAATGTGAAATCCAGAAAATGCAAATATGACGTTGTCAATTATGCCTCCTACAATACTGCTGTTTTCTTTGGGGATATATGATCCCTTAGCAGCAATCAGGACCAGAGGACAAAGCAGATTTTAGGATCATATCATACAGAGGGTTACATAGGGACACTTTAGCAAAATTCTACTAAGATAGGATGCCCTCTTACCACCTTTATGCCCACCTACAATCCTTTTAGAATGCTAGAAGCTACAAAGAACATTGATTGGATGTTGTTGATATCATTTTCCTCATCATATACTGATATCGTGTTTTCATTATTTGAAGCCCGAACATTTAGATCACAAGGTACATACTTTAAGCTGCCTGATGTTCTTCAGCATCCTTCAATATTCAACAAAGGAAAACACTGTGCTTATTTTGTGAACATAAGAGTTAAACTTTAAAAGGAAGCCAGGTGTGCAACCTGCTTCAATAGAATCTCTAGAGGCAAGCCTATGGCATTATCAAAGCATGCTATACAAAATACCAAATGCTAGGAATGTCAACTTTCCACAGATGAGATATTCTGTTCTAACATCAAATAGTTAGAAAATACTAAGTTGGGATAAAACACAGATGCTACATCAAGTCAATGAGAACAAATATCCCCAGACATATATAAGTCATCCTTCTTGCACTGCAATTATTCTGGTATAGAGAAAAGTACATACATACTTTTCAATGTGAATATTGCTCCTCGGTCGAATTTGGAATCTTAGCTGTTTCCTTATAACATGTCATGATCCTATATTGCTATAACAAATACTTCATGTGGATACCAGCAAGCAACTGAAAAGGACCTTTAATCAAGGCTGAATGTTGTTTTTGCCTTCCTGATTATCATTTGACTTTTTAAATTTAGATATTATATTTATATTTAAACTACAGCATAACATTCGGAAACGCTACTTCAAATGTTTGAAAAAAATGAGTTGCCCATTAGGAAGACTAATGGCAGAGGCCATGAAGAGACTGTGTTGATTTGTTCTTTGGTTTTTAGGATTTTTACCTCAGCTGCCTACATATTGCTATGAAGAATTTATTTTTTTTAATTTTTTTATTTTAGTTGACATTTTATTTATTATTTTATTTTTTTGTTTTATTTTATCAGATTTTATCACCTCTTCCTCTTATTAAAAAAAAAACAAACTAAAAGTGACCAAACTTGAATCATTTAATTTGCAAATTTGCAATTTGCCATTGTGAAATGGCCCAATTGGCAAAAGAAAGCTCATGACCGTATTGATTGGAAACATGTGGAAGAAGTCTTCATCCTGCAGTGGATAGACAATGGCTAGAATGATGAATTTGCCATAGAAATGAAGAAGTTATAAAGGATTTGGATATAAAAAAAAGGAAGCAGAACTCTACTTTCTGGCTTTATCCAGTCTTATCATAACCCCTATACTTCTCTTCTCCCAACGTTTTCTTCTGAAGAGGGAGAAACTCTCTGATGGTTATGTGTGTGTGTGTGTGTGTGTGTGTGTGTGTGTGTGTGTGTGTGAGGGTGGGGGGAATTGTAGTGGATTAAAATGTGATGGAGAATTTGTGTCACTTTAGTAGAGCTGTCTTGTGCAAAGGTACATTTCTGCTTATGCAAGGTAGCTTTGAAAATTAAATTTAAATAATGTATAGTTAATAACAGGATAAAAATCACTGAGACAGTATGCCGGAGGCCCCAGAGAAATGAAATAATCATATTAATTCTCATTCCGCACCCTCCACTCTGAAAAATAATCTACAAGTGGGTACTGAATTATTTAGGCTGCAGTTATGAAGGTGGGGGTGGGAAAAATCAAGTCTAATTAATAGCACTTTGGTTATATGAGTGAATTGAAGAGTGCACTTGCAGTCCTTTCTGCTCCTTTGCTAAACTGTTTCTCTTGGCATGTTTGTCAAGATTTATTTATGTTCCATACAGCAAGAAAATAAACTCTCCTACTCTGTATTCTTTCCAAAATGAACTGTAGAAGTACTCCCAAGCTCCTGCATTGAGGATCGAGTGGAACCAGTAAGATAACTCTGCACTATTGTGTTTCACATCTTTCCAAATCCTATTTCCTGATGTTAAAATGACACCATGATTCATCCCCCCATTGAAATTAAAAAAAAAAAAAACTCTAGAAGATGAGTTTGAAAATAGCTGTACGGCTGTACTTTCTACTGACTTTTGGTTGCTACTGCAATAAAAACAAGATAAAGTACAGTTCATTATTGATTACAAAAAAGTTGAAGCCATTATATACAACAGTAAAGACATTTAAAATGACTAGCATTACAAACAAGCCAGTAAAAAAAAGTGGGATGATGCTATCATTACAAATAAGCTCGAAGTACTATATTATTATATCAGTCATGTATGAATGCACCACAGGTCAAACTATTCAAGTTATTATGTTGATTTGTCCTCTGTAAGAGCTGGTTTCAAGATCCACATGGAAAGCAAATGTGTATGTCCCACTATTATGAAATCACTTTTGAAAAAAATATGACAGATTTGGCTGCTTCCAAATTCTAAAACTTTAGGAGATCAGGCTAAGCCATCTTTTCATTGACAAGCAAAGCTGTTTTTATTAATAGTTTCTGGCGTAGAAACTGACTTATGGATTTTAATCTGTTTAGTGCTTTTATTTATTTAATCTAGCAAATGCTGTTAGGCATTAAATTAATTTGAAATAGATCACTTTTAAACTTCAGTTATAATGTCTTTTAATTATAGTTTTATTATTTCCCTGTATTTTATTCTAAGGTTGCTTAAGTATGTTTTTTAAAAAATAGGAAGGCGTGTTATAAATGTAGGAAGCATCTCATTGTTTATTTTTCTAAACATTTTTTCTCACAGCATCAATATTATTATGCTGAATCTCTAACAGTTTTTACAGTTTTCTATTAAATAACTCATACATCATTATAGAAAGACCTAAACAAAATGGAAATAATGAAAAAATAATTAACAAGGTACAGTTCATGCTCAACATACTAAGAATTCTCACTTGTCTTAATGTAGTACCATTATTATCATTTTAAAACAATGGAAGGCTGAGTGAATATGTAGAAGAGAAACTTACCTCTTCCCACTGATGGATATATCTTATTAATCTTGAAAGTCGTAGCAAACGTAGCAGACTGAGGATTTTTGTGAACCTCACAATACGAAGTGCTCTAGCTGTCTTATAGACTTCTGAGTCCATTCCTTTTTCTACAATAAGAAAGATATAATCCACTGGTATGGATGAGATGAAGTCAACCACAAACCAGCTCTTTAAATAATTCATCTTGATTATTTTGGGGTCTAGTATTATTTCAGAGCTATCCTCATTAACCGTGCCAGTTCTAAAGTTCATAATCAAGTCAAACAGAAACACAGTATCCGATGCTACGTTGAAAATAATCCATGGTGTGGTTGTCTGTTCTGTGAAGAATGTGATACCAACAGGTATTATTACAAGATTTCCAACCATCATGATAAGCATGATTAAGTCCCAGTAAAACCTAAGAGAAATAGAGAATGCAATTGTTAATCAAAGCAATGTGTAAATGGCCACTTAGTCTTCTGTTCATATATCTTTTGTGGACAGAGCTTTAAAATTGAAAGAAACTAGATTGCACTAAATATTTGTTTCATTAAATATACAAAACAGAAATTGAAAAATCCCTTCACAATTATTAACGTGCTTATGATTGCAAGTCATATCTTCAAAATAACATTTTCCCCCAGAGGTCTGATGGTTCATTTTTCTGAGTTAATTTTCATTGGTATCTTCAACAGAAATATTTTCTGTTCACCAAGAACTAGCTTGGATAATATACATTTGTTTGGAACTAAACCTTTAAAATGTTTTTTTCATTGTAATTACGTTGAAAGCATTGATAAATGCAAGAAAATATTATTCTAAAAGGAAAAAAAAAGCTGAATGCCTAAACTTCAGAAGCAAAATAAAGGTTTCAGATAGCAATCAGGAACATTAGTATTAAGATAGTAAGCTATGAGAGAAGCATTAGATTTTAAGGTATACTGTTGTTGTTTTAAGAAAAAAAAATCAATTAAAAGAACAGTAGAATAGTGAGAATCTGCTCGGTCTTATTCACAAAAAATTATGTAATATGAATGTCAACAAATTATTAATCTGGTTAATCAATCTGAGATTAGAATTGAGCTGATTTAGATTTGTAATTTCACCAAAGTTATAGTCCAAATCAAAAAGTTGGGGGGGAAAGTTCCAAAAGAAGGATGTGTCAAATCCAATTCCAAGCAATCATAAAGAAAGTTGGATGGACCATCCATGAATCACTTGTTGTCAAGCTTGGCTCAAAAGCACAGCAATACCACATACCATTTAGACTTATATACTGCTTCATAGTGCTTAACAGCACTCTCTAAAAAGTTTACAGAGTCACATATTGCCCCCAACAATCTGGGTCCTCTGGATCTTGGAAGGATAAAAGGCTGAGTCAACCTTAAGCCAATCAGAATCAAACTCATGGCAATTGGCAGAGTCAGCATGCAATACTGCATTCTAACCACTGCGCTACCCTAACTCAATAAAGCTGCTTTATTCCATGGGAGAACAGCACAAATAGCATTCATCAAAGCAATAGAATCATATTCCATTTTTTTTATTCTGCTACATAAATATATTCATGTATCTGGCTAAAGTAGCTAAGGTTACAATCCTTTTTCCACTTACCTAATCAGCTTCACTGAACTGCATGAAATGTATTATTGAATACATTCCTGGAAAAGGAATAAAGTTCTCTTTGCACCTTCTCTGAAGTGGTGCTTGTTTTTTTAAAAACTTATTTTTGTATTAATGTATAACAGCAGCCCTCTGTTTCAAAAGGCCATGGAATAAACTTTACTGTTGAATTTTACTTTACAGGTAGTTTCTGAATAATTATGACTTAGTTCCCGTACATCTCTTATTGCTGCCCTATTGTGCAATGTTTGTAAAGGATTTAATTTTGTTCTCAAACATGTAATATTTTCAAAAATATTTATTAAAGATTACAATTCAAAAAGTATGAAATTTTTACTTTTATTTTTTAAAAAACTGAAAAATATACAAAGAAAAATGAGATGTGCAGGGAAAAAAGCAAAAAAGAAATGAAAATGAAAAAACAAATAAGTTATTTCCCCTTCATCACAAGTATGAACAATTTTAGTAAATTATCACCATCTCTACAACCAATACACACTGCTTTCCATATCTCATCTCTTAACTTTTAACTAAACCTTAAGGCCATAGCATTCATTCATAATCAGCAAAAATCTATTAAGGGTTATTAGAAATCACTTACATAATTATTTTAACCTTGATCAAAGAAGTCAAAACTCTGTATTCGCTCCCCACACTTTTAACAAGTTTTAATCCCTTAAAATAATGAACTTGGGTTTAATTTATTTTGTTCTTCTCTTTCTCTCCTTCCATCAGCTATCTAGACCTAATCACAAGCATTGATAAGGATTCTGTCAACATTCCAACTGACGAACCCAACCAAAGCAAGCACGGCCGAGATGATCCAATCTCTTAATGCAAAACTTTAGTGAGTACATCATTTTGGCACAGATGAGGGCAAAACCAGATCTGGCTGATTCCCACAAAACCCCACATAAACGAAGTATAGGATTTCCCTCCCCCTGTTAAACCAGGTCACATTGTCCAATTGAGTCTCATTGTATTGTTATGAAAAAGTCTTTGGCTCTGGCAAACACTTGCCAAAGTGCCCTTGGTTCTCATAGCTGCCTTCTTGATCTCTGGAGCCTACATTCCATCTCCCCCCCCCCCCAATCATTGGCAAGCTGAGAAGTGATAATGGTTGCAACAGCAAAAGCGCACTTCAAAACTTGACAGATTCCACAACAGACAGCAGAATTCTGTAGATGATTACCAAAAGCAATCCAACAAAAGAACCAAAGCTGAAGAATAAACTGTCACAGTTGTGTATTTGGTAGAGACTTAGTGCAGCTGATTTATTGGCCCCAATCTCTGATAAAAATCCTCTGAACAACTTTTGAGGCCTGAACTTTGATCCTGTTGTGCTCTGGACTCCACCTCAGCAAGTGTCCTGTCTTTTCCTTGGAGTTGTCCTTTGCTGATTGGATTCAGGATTTCAAGCCGTGCCAAGTCTGTGATTTTGTTTACAGCTGTTATCTGATTTTACTGACAAAGGAGCCCTTTTCCTTAAAGGTTCCGCTTGAGCTTTGGCTATCACTAGGCTGTGGCAGCTATTCAGCTTGCCATCTCAAATGCTTGTACACAGCAGTGTCAGCACGAAGAGTAGAAAACTGGTGAAGTATCAGAAAATTGAATAAGAGCGACATAGGCCTCCTTTTCATATCCTTCATGTTCAAGATGCAGAAGAAAGAAAACTTAGGAAATGCTATAAAATAGATTAGATAAGATACATGGATGGATGGATGGATGGATGGATGGACAGATGGAATACAAACACCTGTACATATGCAGCTACTAGAATGCTAATTGTCAAGCAACGTGTCTGCGACCACTTAGAAAGGAATACTACCATTTACCAGAAGTTACACTGGATTTGTCCAGAACAATTATTCAAACAATCTTTTTTACAATCAGAGACTAATTTAACAGATCAGAGGCGCTATAGATGTATATAAATTTGACCCCAGCTGGGACCAGATTTTCCATTGCTAAGCAAGTCAGTTAATGAGTTGCCTCCAACTTTAAAACCTTTTCTGTTGCTGTTGTTAAGTGAATCACCACAATTCTTAAGTGCATCATGCAGTCTAAGCAAATTTGGTTTCCTCCATTGACTTTGCTGGTAGGAAGCCAGCTGGGGAGGTCACAAATAATGATCACACGATCCCAGGATTATAATTGTCAAAAGCCTGAATTTTGATTAAGTGACTATGAGGATGATGTGACAGTTGTAAGTGCGAGGATTGATCATAACTCACTTTTTTTCAATGTTGTTAAAACTTCGAACAATTGTGAAAGGAATGGTTTAAGACGAGGACTAGCTGTAATCTACAGCAGACAGTATTGGAGTTCAATGAATTTGCAATTGGTTGAGTAACTGCAGTCTGCAACTGATTCCTTAAAAACCTGAAGAGAAAACCCTAAATGCTTCATGCTATTCAGCATTTCTTAGACTTTTATTGGGTGACTGTCTATTCTGTAGAGTTCTGGCAATTACAATTTAAAAAGGCATGATAAAGCTAAAAGCAGTATCAGAATGGAAGAGAATCTGGAAACAAAGACTTACGAAAAATGGTTCAAAGAGCTGAGCATACACAGCTTGCAAAAAATATCAGGCAATGACAGCAATCTATAGAGAACCTAACATTTTGTCACATGTGAGATTTTGGGGATCTGTTCTGCACTGAAGCTGACAAGGACTAACATATTGGACTTAAAAGGAAGGAGATTCAATCTAAGTATGAGGGGGATCTTATGACAGGAAGTGTTAAGCATTGGAGCCATTTTCTTAAATCTGTGATGTGTTCCTCAGCAATAAAAGCTTTTCAAATAAGGGTTGGATGGCCATTTTTTAGGGACAGATTTGTTGAACAATATATGAGGCAGCTTGAAGGATTGGATAATTTATGAAGTTCGTTTCAACTCATACATTCTTAGTTTATAATTCACTCCTTGTAGTGACAAAATTACACAGATTAAAACACAGTCAGTATGATGTCTTACTTCTTGCAAAATTGTTGATTTGTCCAGCAGAACTGCAAACACATACTTGATTACGTTGCTGAAAAGTTCTGTATTTTTTTAATTGAGGAAGAATCAGTAATTTTTCTGGTGAAGGGTGCATGCAGAATTACACAGACATATCCAGGTTCTGTTCTTTCTTCCCATCAATGATTGGCATATGGAATAAATTTGTCACTGTGCCACAGAATTACCTTATTATCCCATGTCATATTTGAAGGGTTGGATGGCATTTTTCTCAGCCTTTCTGTCACAACTTATCAAAGTGTCAGCTTTAAAACACCAAATCCTGCTGTTAACCATGGACTTTATGGTAGACTGAAACCATTCTTGGACATCTTCAAATAAGTGCAAGTCTAAAATATGGTACAATATTTAAGGAAGAATGGACAATGTATGTCACATATTGTACAAACAAGGCAAGTTTCTTATTTTGCAGTCAGATATCTGTTTTGATATGTAGCATTTTTCCAATATTATATAATTTATATATAAATGATGTCCAATGTTTACTCTAAATGTGATATGTAGAAATTTAGTTTTCATTATATATCAAAAATATTATTATATTTACATAATCATGATTTGGCAGGATATCGGAACTACTGGAAATGATTCTCATCCTTAGAAATCACAATATAGATATACTAGCATGAGGACCTAAGGATGATAAGCAAAGTTGACGGATATTGGTGGCTTGAGGGAACTCCCTCTGTTTCTTTTAACTTTTTAACATCTTCATTTTAACCATGTTTTAGTTCTTCTTTTCTTCTGCTTTTAACTATGTATGTCTTAATT